ATGAGTATGTCCTGCAGCCTTCAGCCCTTTTTGCCAAAGAGGAATTTAGAAAAGCAGCAGTAGCAGTATGGAAGTCGGGAGATTAGATTATCAATTGGGTTGGTTTTTACTTTTTTTTTTGCCTCCCCCAGTTCACTTCCACACTGACCTCTCCTGTTCTCAGTCATCTGTAACTGTGCAGAGCTAACTCAGTCAGCTCATCTTGCACGAGTTACCTGTCTCAGGTGGTTTTCTTGGGGTGGCTTTAGACAGTTGGTTTATTCACTTATTCCTCATCCAAGTAAAAGCTGCTCAGCTCTTTCAGAGAGTGAGGATGATGTTCTGGCAGTGGTTAAAATAATAATGTAAGAACCACTTTGTAGAGCCTCTCTGAGAGGCAGTGCTCTGTGACTTTATCAGGTAAGCCTTTGTAAAATTGCCATTTATGCATGTAATAACATAAATTTTGGGACATTGCCCTTTGTGAGCCTTTTTGAGTTCCCCTGTTGTAACCCTGCCCAAGCAACATACAGACCATCCCTTTGCAGGGACTGGGTATATTTCAGCTGAAGCTGGTGCAAGGAGTCTCTGGACCTGGCCCTGAAGTAGAGGGAGCACTTTGAGGGCACAGGCACACTCCAGGGTGGAGAATCCCTTTTCACCCATGTTTTTAACAGCCATCTGCTCGCTCCCTGGCTTTCTGAGGAGAAAGGGAAAAGAAACAAAGCAGAGAAATGGAGTAATTTTGGACAAAGAGTTTGTAAAAGCACAACTTGAATTTAGATACTTTCTTTGGTTTACTCATTCCTCAGTGATGAGGAAAGATGTCTTGTATTTGTTGGAGTAAACCAACAAGGAACTGAGGCAGGAAGGAGACATAACCTGAAACTAGTTGTCTGGAGACTCGAGACTGCTCCAGGGAATCTGGAGGAGTCTCCTTGAAGAAGGAAATTAGAGGTGAACTTTCAGTCCTGGGGAGAGGAAGAGATCTGATAGGAACCTCAAGGTGTGGGGAGAAAAGGCAGCTAGCAGTGAGGGGCTGGAGGGCATGGTGAGCAGTGGAGGAACAAGCGAGATGGGATGAGAGGTTTGAACAGGAAACACAGCACAGTGGGGAAGGAGAGGGCACTTTGGAATAACATGCATGTAAACTTAATTTCTAATTACTTGAATGCTTCTTTTTCCCATCTCATTTTTAAAGGTGGGACAGGGGGGAAGTGTAAAGTCATGACATAATTCATAGCACATATGCACATACAGTGGAGAAGAGCCTGAATAGGTTCCTGCTGCTCTCTAACTGTTGTGTGCCTGGTGCTGCTGGAGAAGAGCCTGAATAGGTTCCTGCTCTCTAACTGTTGTGTGCCTTGTGCTGCTAGTAACAGGAATACGTGTCTATTACAGAGAAAATAAATGCCCATTAACTCAAGCACACACCCAGGCACAAACCTCCTGTTGTATTCTATCTCTAAACAGGCTCAAGTGCAGGTGATTTGGAGTAGGGAGTACCCACTGCTCTGCTCAGGTAGGATGGTATGAGAAGGGGTGTACTGGAACAGGATGAAATAGAAGGCAGTAAGTATAAAGTGGGCCAGGAAACCTGAAGCTGCAAGCTGTTGCTTTGCCATGTGCCAGTACTATGAAGCTGGAGGTAGCTGACAAACTTTGGAGTTGTGCTGTGAGGTAATGCAGGCTTAAGACTTGCATCCCGTCGTTTGAGTCTTTGTTACCAGCTGCCTTGAGGGAGTGTGAAATTGAGAAGATAAGACAAGGGAGCGAGAGGAGACCCGCGGTGCTGATCTTTTCACAGAGGCTAGGATGGCAGAAGGCAGGGTGAAGAAAGCATGTGCCCTGAGGTGGCAGCCTGCTCCTTCATTCGATTGCGGTGGTGACTGAGCATGCTCTCTGCTACTGAGCCCTCTAGGGCAAGGGTAGAGAGGGATTTAATGAATTCATTGTGCTTAGGCAGAGAAATTAGGCTGCTGATGGTGTTTGTCTCCGTTGTTGGACCTTCTGGGTTTTCTCCAGAAGGGCAAAAGGATATGAAGAAGCCTGGGAAAATTACAGTGAGGAGTGCAGTCGACTAGGATGAGCTTTTGAGCAAGTAGAGACAAAGCTACAGGACCTTTCTTAGAGCTGGACTGCGTGGAGTGGCCGGAGGAGCAGCAGTGAAAAAAGCAAAGGAGGTGAAGGGAAAGGGTGAAAATGTTTGGGGAGTCTAGGTAATAAAGAATAACAGGGGAGATAAAAATCAGTGCAACATGGAGCATAGGATGAGTTTCCTTGTTTCACGTGTGAGGGTGAGGGAATTTTTTGTTTGTCCTAACCTGTTGCAAAGATTAAAACTTTGTAGCATAGAACTAGAATTTACATCCATAACACAGATAAAAATCTGTTACATCAGTACCTCTTGGAGGCAGCCCAGGCTGCTGTTTTCCAGCACACACACATGCTTCAACAGAGTGAATGCACCTCCCTCCTATGTGTGTGTTAAAACCTCAGAGAGAAGTGGAGGGGTTGGTTGGTTTGGGGTTTTTTGTTTACCTTGAGATGGGCTGCAGCAGGTTTCCTTCTGAGAGCATGATGTAACTGGCAGTTAAATTGGAGTGCTCCTTCAAAACATGGTACATCTGCTAGATCCAGAAACCTGCTTTTATTGATTCTTTTAGTGCTTAGTATCTGGTGTCTTTTGGGAAGCAGACCTTTATGCCTTTCTGACAGAAGCTTGAAAAACAAAACATGCATCTGCAATAACTTACTTGAAACCCTAAAATTCTATTTCCAATATAGTGGTTGTTTCTTATCTTGTTGGAGAAATCATGTACAGCCTGGTTATAAGCCTGGGAAATATGGTACCTGTCTAATCATAGTCTTAATTTTTTTTCCCATTCCAGCCACATGCTAAAGTTCTGTGGCAGACTTCTGTGAATTGCAGGAAGATTTTTGTTGCCCTGGGGTATTGCTGGCAAAGGACTGCTTAGAGTTCATCCCAGTTAGAAATGGAGGCTTTTAATTGATCACTGGCAGGGATGCAGCATGATCAATACTACTAGACTTTATTTTCCAGAGCAGGGGAGAGCAGGCTGTTGCTCAGGGGCTACCTGAGGCCTTCAGAGCTGTTTGCAATGTGCTTAAAAGGAATTTGCTGAAGATGCCTGTGTGTGGTAATTGTCATGATCTGCCTGCTTGCTTATCACATTTGCTGGTTTGTTAGATTGGAACTGCACCTGAATATGAAGAGAGAGTGGTTTTGCCCAAGCATGTTTTGCTTGCATATAATTGTGCCACCAAAATGTTTTGCTATCCCTTTGCTGTCTTCTAGAAGTTATTACCTATTCTGGTGGAGTACTTTTTCCCAACATAAACAATTCTGTGATTCAGACCTTTAAGATTGAGTCCAACTGTTAACCCAACACAGCCAAGTCCACCACTGAACTGTGTCACCAAGTGTCACATCTGCATGTTCTGCTTCAAGCAAGAGGTTGTGCTTTTCAAATTGGTGACATGATCTTATCCAGCTGTTTTTTGCTTAAGTAGCTTAAGATTCCCTTAGTGGATGCCACTGCATTACCAGGTTCCCCATGTGACAGACCCTTTCAAAGGGAGGAGGACAGCAATGTTGTCCACCTGCTCAGCCTGCAGGTTAGTTACAGTTAGAGAAGGATTTGATAGCAACATTCTTCTGGGGTGTTTGTGAAACAGGTGGAGCCTAGCAGGTGAAGGCTAACCTCCAAGTCAGCAGCTGGCTCACCCCCTACAAACTCTTGAAGACAATGTGGAGTGTAGAAAGCACACCTAGTGCCATGCTGTAGCAGGCATCAGGTGGACTCCAGTGAATCACACTTGCACTTCCAATCTTCTGATGACTGCCAGTCAGTCAGCTGCAGCTTCTTCTGCTAGCTAGTGAGACATGAAGAAACATTGGTGGCTACAGTTATAAGGGCAAGAGGTCATCATACTGCTTACAACTGAGTCATTTTATCCTTCTGTAGCTAAACTGGAAAACTACAAATAAATTAGAACTACTGGCTCTTTTGATGCTTGCTGAAGTGGAAGATACTGTCAGTTTCTGGTTTTCTTTCTAAAAATAGTTGTGGTTTTTGATCTCCAGTGAGGTTGTTTGCAATGTCATTTTCTTCACTTTAAGACAAATGTGTATGTGGTGGTAGCCAACATCTTGTTGGCATCTTCATTTTCTTTCCCCCAGCCCAGAGGAAGTGCTCAGAAGGGAATTTCAGGCACTGATCCTCAGAAGGGAATTTCAGGCACTGATCCTCAGAAGGGAATTTCAGGCACTGATCCTCAGAAGGGAATTTCAGGCACTTCTCCACTTGGATCTGGTCTATAATACCATGCTGTGGCTTAAGATACTGGGTGTTACTGCCACACTGCCTTCCTCCCTTGCTGGCTGTCTTTGGGCAGCTATCTGCTTTGTCTAGGTGGCCTTGCTTTGCAGATGTGGAGTTCATTTCCTCATGCTCCTGTTGGGGTTTAGCAGAAATAGTCACCCTGAAGAAACACTCATTAAATAAAAGCTTGTTGCTGCCGCTGGGATTTCACAGCTAATAAGCTGTCAATGTCTAGAAGGAATGACTTCTAGTTTCTAATAACGTGGTGTCAGAGGCTGGGTGTCCCTGGGCTTGGCATGTTCAACCAGGAACTCCAGAGGTTGCACTTCTGGGACTTTCTCCCTCCCTGTGACTTTTAGATGAGGTTAGATTTGAGACCTGATTTGTGTACTCCTGCCTTGTGTGTTATGTAGCGTGTGAGTCACTTAGAAAAATAACTCCCTCTGAAAAGATCTGAAAAATCTTCTGAGCCATTACAAGGGTTTTTTTCTTTTTAAAAGCATATGTTCACTTTGAAATGATGCAAGTTGTCAGCAGAGTCTTGGTTCTGCAGAAGATACACAAGCCCACCATTTGGCAAGATTTTGGGCAGATGGGACACTCGTGTAGTGACCTACTTAACTGACCCAAGTTTGAGATGGAGCCGTTAGATCCAGAGTAGGCAAGAATGTAAACATGAGTGGAGATAAGTGCATAGACCTTAACTTGCATGGTGTAAGGAATCTGGTGACTCACCTGGAGGTGGGTGGGGGTGGTTCCTTCTGTAGGGAAAGGGGAGAGGTGGAAACATGCTGAGATTTCTTAACTGGTTCAGAACTGGATTGACAAAACCTCTTTCTTCAGGGACCTTAATGTACTTTAGCATGGGGGTGGAGCCTGAGTAACACCTGGTTTTGCATATCTTAAATTGTTGATTCTAGCAAAGTTGAGCAGAGATATTCTTTTTTCAGCTTCTAAAACTGAGTTGAACTAATAGGCAATCATCAGTACACCTACTGTGACCAAAGAAACCAAGAAAGGTTCCTGCCAATATTTAAAGAAACTTCCCAAACAGCTTTATGAAAATGTGAAAGAATAAATACTGTTGTTCATTTATCTGTTAAGTTAAAAATGCCAGTTTTTATTGGATTGCAGAGAAAAATTGTCTCTGAGTGCTTTTCAATGTTCCCTTATGTGCATCAGGCTACTGCTTCCAGCAACTCCTTGATATTTTGTGCACTGTCTGTCTCAGGTGTTTGATGCTGGTGACTACTTTGGGATAATGCAAGTAGAAGAGGTGGATGAGGAGGAAGAAGGTGATGAAGAAATGGAGGAAGAATTTAAAAAGAAACCAAATCCTGGGAATGAACCTTGTTTCAAAGTTATTGTAACAAATGAGAATGGGCTTCAAGCCTCCAATCCCAACAGGTGAGATTTGGCAGTGATTTGAGAGCTAGTGTTCAGTCTTTGAGTGGTTTTAAACTCTAAAATGGCACACACAGTTTGCTTTAAAACTTGTTTGATCCTGCTCAGAAATCCCCTTTTCTTACTGCAAGATAGAGCTGCTTGTTTGAGGAAAGCTGCACGCTGTGTCAGTTCCACATCTTGCAAAGGGTACTAGGAGTGCAAGTATCTTCACATTGCTCCTTCTGAAATCATGCAGGAAGATGCTTAAAAATTTGGTTTAGTAAATTAAGGGAGAAAATAGAGAAAAGGCAACCTTGACATGAATCCTGCAGAAATAAACAAAAACTATGTATCTGCAAGACTGTGCCCTTCAGGAGGGGAAGAAGGAAATAATGGTGACCTTCACAAATCTCAGGCCAAGGAGGTACTGAGCAGCTTCCAAGTAATGATCCCTAGACTACTACATTTCCTCCAGCTGGCTAAAATATTGTTCAAGAGTGTGATCATTTGATTGCATGCATATGTAATAACTGAGTACATCAGGTTACTGTTGGCTTTCTGCAGAATCAGCTCATCTGTCATGAATATAAGACTAAGTATGCAGCTATAAAGCTAGAAGGAAAGTTGCATAAGAAAATGTTACAACACAGTCTTTTGTGTTCTTAGTGATCTCAAACGTGCAACAGGCTATTTGTCATTTATTAGTAAGTGACAGGGAAAAAGTCAGCTCTGCTGGAGGCCTAAACAGAATTCTGCTCTGTTCTATGAAACTTCTTTTGCCAAAACTTTTATGCTTTTACATCTTAGGTAAACGTGCAAAGTCTAAAAATCAGTTTGGCTTTGATGAGTAAAATCAATATAGAGCACAGGTACCTGCTTTTCATGCCTGCTTTAATGTAAATCATTGCTTTTCTAAATCTGGAAAGGTGCTCAAATTATAAAGATCAGAACAGCCCCTGTGATAACCTTGGGCTTCTTTGCAGCATTGAGATGTGTGGGACTGTAGGAACAGAATACCAGCACACCTGTTTGCTAACATTTCCAAAGAGCTTGACCTTAGCACTTTCAGGGAGCTTTAGTTTTAAAATTATAGTAGATTTCTTCCTGATGTGGAGTCTGAGGTACAATGATTGTTCAAGGATACTCAGTCTACGTGACAGTAGTTTTTAGCTTTCTGAAACATGGGTGGTGGGGTGGTTTTGTTTGGGAGGGAGTTTGAGGGGTTTGGTTTTGTTTTGTTGGAGTGGTTTTTTAGCCGGTAGAATTCAGATTCTTCTCTGCCTTGGTTCAGTAGAAGGAGATAACTGAAATGTGCAGAACCCTTCTGTTTGAATAACTGTTTTTTGTAAAGTTTGTGCAGCCTAATAAAGGGTTAAACTTGTCAAGGGAAGCTGTGCCAGTTGTGTATGATTTTGTTTAGGATTAGATAGGCAGTTCTGGTAATTTCTAAAACAATGCACTTTTTCTAAAAGACCTGAGACAAGGTGGAAGGAAACACCCAGAGAAACACCAAAGAGAAACAATCAAAAAACTAAAACATAGTTTACTTTTTTAATAGCAAATGATACAGGCTTTTGATGATGACATCTCTCCATTTAGTTTTGCAGATGACAGTAGATGTCACAAAGCTCATGGCTGACAAGGTCCTTGAGTACTTTTGCAAAATAACATATTGTTTTCCTTCTTCAGGCAAGAATATCAGGTTGTGATACAGTGGAGTTAGTAATGATCAAAAAGGAAGAAACTCTTGTGTTCCTGGCCTTCAAAGGGGAACTGGGCTCACAAACCAAGTGCCCTGTTCTGTATTTGCTCCTCGTTCTCATGGAAGTACTATTTAATCCACAGCAAGCTTTCTAGAATAAAACCAGTGTAAGTTCCTGCTGGGCAGTAGTTCCTCACCTGTAGTGCCACAACGTGCATCTGGGAATGACTTTGAGGGTGAGAGAAAAATTATTTATCCAACGGTCCACAAGGAAGTGTAGCTCTTATTCACAGTGGTGATCCACGTGTAAACATACACTACCAACATCTGGGAATGACTTTGAGGGTGAGAGAAAAATTATTTATCCAACGGTCCACAAGGAAGTGTAGCTTTTATTCACAGCACATTTGGTTATCCACGTGTAAACGGATACTACCAACATTCTCTTGAAGCATCTTCCTCATCGACCACGCCTGGACGTACCGCGCGGAGCAGGCCCGGCAGCAGCTGCGGCACGTCCCCGGGCTGCTGCAGAGGATGGCCGGCCTCATGGGCATCGACTGCCACGGGGAGCTGCCAGAGGATGGCACTGTGGAGCAGGTGCTGCGGGAGATGTGGAAGTACAACCAGACCTACCAGCTGTCGCAGGGGGTAAGGCTCCACGGCCTGATGGCGGTGGAAAGTCCTGAGCAGTATCCGAGCGAAGGCGTTCCAGTAGATGGCTGTTAACAAAGATGCCTGTAAAAGACCTTTTTTTTAATTTAAAAGGTATTTCAGACTAGACTTCTAGTTGGAAGGAGAGCAAATGCTGTGCAGGGCTAAAATGCACAGTGGCTTGTTATGAGCTTTCTCATTAAAACTTTCAGGGTTAATTTTTTTAGAGAGGGGAACAGTCTGGTGTCAAAGAAGGGGGCTGGAAGGGGGAGATCTGCTTGTATGTTATGTGGGGTTTTTTCTACTCAGACTTTCATGTAATGGAGGAAGGAACCTCTTGTGAATCAGTTGTGTCACTTAAAAGCATGTGTCTCAGCTATGCTCACAGTTTTCCTCACCTGTAGAGTACTTTACACACCAGGGATGTATCTACACTGTCAAATAACTCGACTTCCTGGCTCATGTTTGGCAACTGACTGTGCTGTGAAGTGTTAGCTCAGTCTCAGATGAGAACCACCCAGCTGCAAGACAGAGCCTAAGTGCTTTTAGTCATGGCTTACTCCAAGGGCTGCTACTTTTAGGTAGCATGGGTAAGACCACACCAGGTTGGGTCCCTCTGCATGTGTAGTCCTTCAGCACTGTGCCAGCATGTCCTGAGCCTTCAAACACCTTCAGGTGCATACGTGCCATTTCTGAGGAACTACAACCCTCAGGGTTGAGTTAGAAACCCTCTTCTAGAGTCTGCAGTGTAACTCCTAGGCTCCTGTGAATCTTTTGGGTTGAAGAGGAGAAAAGTCAATTCTTTGGGTGGAGCTGTATGCAGAATGAGCATGACCTACCTGTACCTGTTGGCCATTCCAGAGGAAACCTCAAGCCCCCCAGCCATCTTTATCAGTTAAGGTATCAGCTCAGTAGTATCAGGCCTAAAAAAATCTATGAGAAAGGAAGTTGTTGTGACTCTAAATTAAAAGGGAGATCTGAATGGTATCTTTCAGTCTTCCTACCCTATGTCTTTGTCATGAATGGCTCTCCAGTCAGGTGGAATTATCTGTTACCAGGTGAAAACTGAGCTCCTGCAAGACCTGTAGTTGAACTTGTCTTCTATTCCACTTTCTGGTACTGGGCTGCTTTAATATCTTAAGTCTAATCTCTGCTCCACTTCTGCCTCTGTCAAAAAAGGCTACCAAGCAGGTTTTTTTTTTTAAAATCCATTCATTCAGGATTTTGTTATGACAAGGGGAGCTTTCATGAAGCAACCTCTGCAACAACAGCTGGCTGCACTGGAGGCACTTCTGCTTTCCATCACTCTTAAGCTGGAAACTTCAGACTTGTTTTAGCCAACTGCTTCTGACAGAGACTGAAGGGAAACTCTTCCTGCCAAATGGCTTCCTGCCAGTTTAGCTCCCTGAACGGGCGAGTTTGGTGGAGGGGAAGCAGGTCTGGTAGGCAGCACAGTAGTGTTGTGTGTGCAGCTGAGATGGAGACAGGCTGGTGTCAGCAGTGGCTGAATCCTGGGCTGGCTTAGCCTCAGAGTTACAGGGATGAGAGTGTTTTGGCTAGCGTGGGAAACAGAAAAGGGTGCAGGGGAGGCTGCCAGCACCTTCTGCCTCGTGGGGCTCTGCTGGCAGTGCATGTGTGCAGCATGTCTCACTCTTTAACTGTACAGACTGCAGAGGAGAAGGTTCCTGTCTGGTACATTATGGATGAATTTGGATCACGCATTCAGCATTCAGATCAGCCAAGCTTTGCAACAGCACCTCTGTTTTATATGCCTCAGCAAATTGCTTACACTCTTCTCTGGCCTTTGAGAGACCTTGAAACTGGTGGTAAGTTGCTGTTGAGCTTTTTGTTTTGTTTTTTTTATGTCCATAACAGAAGATGGGCTGTATTCTTACAAACTGTTGAGGGTTTCACAGTAGAACAAATATTTCAAGACCAAAATGGCTCTGTATTTGTGATGTTGTAGAATTTTAAAATTCTTTGCCTGGTATTTCTGGAATTTATGTGAGAGAGAGGCCTTTATCAGTACAAAAATGTTGCTAATATTTTATTGACAGAACTTAAATCCTGCATCACTGTCTTAGTGAAATTACTAATTCAGTCATCTGGGAGTTTTAAACAAAAAAATCCTTAAAGATCTGTTTGTAGTTTGGGTCAAAGTCAAGTGCTGGAAGTTGGGAAATGCCAGACTAACAATTTGCTCCTGTCATCCTAGTTTGGGGGGACACCTTATGCCCTCATTACGTGGAGGACTAAATTGACCTATGTTAGATAGGATGCAAAAATTAGCCCGAAACTAAATAAGACCCTTTTAAATGTAGTTCCTTATCTCTAATTTTACATTTAAATAAGGTAAAGTAGTGGTGGTGTTCAACTGTCATTTCTGTGATGTGCTGTGGGAAGGGTTTTCAGTGGAGGATGAGTAGCACTTCCTAGAAGGATGTTCTTGCTTTGCTGCAGATGAAGTGACTCGTGATTACGCTTATGGGGAAACAGATCGCTTGGTCAGGAGGTGTGTTCTCTTACCATGGGTCCCTGCTGAAGTGCTGGATGTCAACTGTTTTACACCAGAGCCACCAGATGAACATTACCAGGTATAATTTTAACAAATCTCATCTATTTTTCCCTGAAGAAGAGGTACTGTCTAAAAAACATTGCAAGAGAAGTGATTTTGCTCCTTTTTTAGGCGTGAGCGTTGTTTCAGAGTGTAGCTATTCAATAAAAAGCCCCAAATCATTTCACAGAAAGCCTGGTGAGATGGGCAGTGTCTCACACATAGTAATTAACTGTTCAGAAACTGAGGCAAAACAAATGAGTTGTGATATGTTACTGCACTTTTGTATGACTTTATAAGCATGTTAGAAGGTACTTCATATGAGGTGCTCATTTTCCAGTTAGATATTTGATACACTGCCTAATAGGCTTTATCATTTGGCTTTATCATTTTAGCAGTTCTGGTCAGTCTTGTATTACAGAAAGATTTATTTTAATATTTTAGGAGTGATGATCATTTTCAGCCTGGCTATTCATTTAATGTGGTTTAGAACCATTACATAATGGAACAGAGATATCTTTGATAGCACTGTTCTAACACATCTGCTTTGCTTTTTTTTGCGCTATCCTTTCCATTAAAGGTTTGTAATACTTTAATGACATGAAATTAATACTGTTTGGAATTTCCTTTTCATGAATCAAGTGTGCATGAGGTTCTTTTCTAAGAAAAATGAAGGACCTGATGCCTGTGAGGATGCTGTACTGGTCACTAATAACATTCAAGGTGCAGCTTCTAAAGATGAATCTATACCCCAACTGTCTCTTTCCTATGATAGAAGATATGCAGAAAGTGCTGGATCCAGCCTGTTGTTAACAATATCTAGTCAGAAATTAAGTTCACCTGCTTCTGCCAAATAAAGGTGTACATCTGAAATAGCTCTTACAAACTGAGTCAGATTGGTGGGCTGGGATTTTGTGTTTCTTAAAGGTTTGTAATACTTTAATGACATGAAATTAATACTGTTTGGAATTTCCTTTTCATGAATCAAGTGTGCATGAGGTTCTTTTCTAAGAAAAATGAAGGACCTGATGCCTGTGAGGATGCTGTACTGCTCACTAATAACATTAGAAGTGGAGCTTCTAAAGATGAATCTATACCCCTACTGTCTCTTTCCTATGATAGAAGATAGGCAGAAAGTGCTGGATCCAGCCTGTTGTTAACAATATCTAGTCAGAAATTAAGTTCACCTGCTTCTGCCAAATAAAGGTGTACATCTGAAATAGCTCTTACAAACTGAGTCAGATTGGTGGGCTGGGATTTTGTGTTTCTGAAATAGGGATGGATGTACTTGTATTTACAGATGAGGAACAACAGTGCACCTGCAGTTCATATCTTGCAGGCATTCTCTTGGCAAAAGTACCTGGGTAACAGAGATGGCAAATTTTTGTGTGTATTTTAATTCTATTTTGGGATGATGAAGTTAAAGAACTGTGTATGGCAGATGGTCGAGCAGTACCCTCCTTTACCACTCAGCCTTACAATCATCTTCTTTAAAGCATCCTCTTTTTTCTCAGTTGTGTCTATGCCATTTGCTGTTGAGAAGAGATGACAGCAAAATACTGATTGCTAACAGAGCTTTCTTCTACTCTCTAATGTTTAGCTGTAGACTAAAGTCTTAACTGGTGACAGACCAGTGAAGACTAGCTTAGGGCACAGCACAGCCTGAAACACCAAGCATGGGGTGGCTAGGAAGGAACACCCTGTTGCTGACACTTGTAATTCCCCTACTTTCACATCAGCTGCATGCCTGTGAAAGTTCAGACAGCTTCAGGGACCTGTTTACAGCATTAATACATGAGCCATCAGTTCTGTGGGGAAATAAAATTGTGTGAAAACATTTCTACATGACCATCCAAATCTTACTGCTGCAAAATCTTTTGTTGCTATCACTGTACAGTTCCTGCAACTGCTTTACTACTATGTGCAAATAATTATTTGTTCTTAAATGGACTGTGTTGTTGGGCTTTACCATAGCTAAGGATGTTCTATTTCTTATTCTAATTTTCCTTTACATAAACCCTGAAGGCTTCAGTCTTCTTTTTAAAAGAATCACAACCTTGTTACAGCAACATTGTTGCTTCACTTTTTACCTGTTTTTTTGTTCTGTTACCTGATTCTGGTCTCACAACACAGACCACAAAGGCTGTAACTTAAATGGTACTGTAGGTAATGACTGGGCAGTGATTGTGAAACCAGTATCTGGGAGGAAAGAAATATCTCTTGGGGGAATGAGAGTAATTGCTGTTCTGCAACAGCTCCCTGTGGGTAAGCTGCAGAAAAGACAGTGATGAATTCTCTGGTACTGCTCTGAGAATTGTAGGCTTCCCCTGTTAAAAGTACAGGCTCCCTGCTCTTCTTAGGTGACTCTAGGAATTATTTTGTACCTGCACTGTCCAATCTCTTCTAGAAGGTGAAGTCCAAGATCTTTGATTACAGCTGTGGTTTTATTTATGCTTTCCAGTTAGGTATCACTGTATTTCCTATGACAGCCTTTAAGGTAAAGAAGTATGTCTAGGGCTGGGCCTGGCTACTTTGGGTTCTCAAGATGCAGTTTTCCCATCCCAGAGTTTCTGTGAGCTGCTTCCTTTGGCAGGGTATCAGCAATGATCCAAATGTGTGTTTCCTTTAATCACTCAGGGATGTTGTTAAAGAAAATTATTTTTTTTTAAGCATGTTTGCTGCTGAAGACTGCAAAAAGCCTTTTGCTTGTTTTTGCAGGAGCAAAATTAGGTTCCAGTCTCCTATAATATCTTTTTTTTTATTTGTAGGAGAACATCATGGCTAAATCATTAGTCTGTCATTTTGTTGAAAATACAGTAACTTTGTCTTCTACTGCATATGATCATCTGTGATTTGTTATTTTGTTTAAAGCTTAGAAGAAACAGGAATTTCTCAGGAAGCTGCTATGACAGTGTTGATAAGCCCTGGTCTTCAAACCATATTTCTTATTCCTTTTTTACTAATAGCATTTTACTTCTGATTCCCCTATGCTCATTGTAGTGATGATTTATTCCCCCTCCCCCCAACATATTACATAATATATTTCTCAAAAGGCAGCTTTGGAATTCTCTTGTGCCAAAGAGTGAAACAGGGAGACATGCAGATGGACTGTCTTTTTTGCTACAACTACAAATGCACCTGTATACATGTATTTAAATAATAACATGGAGCTAAGGGATTGCAGAAAATTATCTGTAAAGGCTTACAATTTGAGAAAATTTCAACAGGCTATTGCTAGTAAAACATTTGGGTGAACTTTGACTCATACAGAATATTTTACTTGTAGCCTCTCCCTAAAGATGATGTTGGGTTTTGTTTATCTCTTTTATAAAGTTGATTATGCACATTTTAAAATTCAGTTTGGCTAAGCTGCTGTTCATATCTGCTGAATATTGTGGAGTTTGACCTAAGGCTTCTCATTTATTCTGCCTGGTATTAACTTTTTGTGCATTTTTGTTATTTTTTAGGCTATTTTAGCAGAAAACAAGGAAACGCTGCCTCTAATGATAAACCCACCAGTTTATGACAAAGACAAAGTATTCAAGTATGTATCTGCAAACAAAATGCTTTCTTACCAAGATTAAGTATAATAATTGCAATGTGCTGAGGCTGAGCAGCCTTGTCCAGCCATGAACAACAGAGGGAAGTTGAAAGTGTGTTTGTGTAGCCACTTGCTTAAGGTTGTGACTTGATAATTGTTAGTGTTAGATTCTACATTGCCACTTACAGAATTTCTAAACACAAATTTAGATTTATTTTTTTTTAAGTGCCACCTTCTGGGTAAAAGAAAAGTTGTGCAGTTTTGTAGCACTGTGTTCACTTAGGAGCATAACTAAATTATGTAAGAAAGAAAGACTTAAGACTTCTGTTCTGCATTCTAGTATGTACATTCACAGAGGTACTTGTGCTTCTGTGTGAATATAACAGGCTAGTCCCCTTCTTCTGATGAGTTGGCCAGACAGGCATCTTGTCAAAATCTGGGATGGCTTAAATAGTATATGTGTCTCACTACAAAAATGGAGTGTATGGTGTGAAACTGTTTCAGGAGAGAGCTGGAAGAACATTGTGAAGGTAAGAGATCTGTGTGAGCAAAAGCAGAGGTGCTGTATAGCTAGACTGCCTGGTTTTATTCCAGAAAAACATCCTGTATGTAGTACATGTGAGTTGCACTCCAGGGTATTTGTAGCCTGACACTGGGATTTGCATTCTTGTTTGTAACATTGTGCTTAGGGGATGAGGCTAGCTAAAACAGACTTGGCAGGTACACCCACACCCCAGCTTCTTGTGCTGAGGGGCTTCCTATTCCCTACATCAGCTGCACTTGAGAAGGACTACTGAAAATCCAGGTCACCCTGTGTGTTGAGAGGGGGTTGTTAACTTGTTCAGGGATAGTCTAGATTTCATTATGTGGTTGAAATCTCTGGATAAGAGACTGGGGGGGTAAGCAAAAGCTATTTTTTTTTATCCAGTGTACTTGAATATTTCAGATAACACAGCCAAGAATTAGTGATGTTCAACTTATTTTTCACCCCTACCCTTTTATTTAGTATCTCACATTTCAGGTGAATGGCATTCATGGCAGGGAGGGGAAAAGAGGGGAAACACACACCAAATCCTTCCAGCTCTGCTTCTA